TGTGCTCCTTCCTCCTGTGGCTGTGGGTGGCTCCCTGCTGAGCAGAGAAGGGTGGGACTTCCTAGAGCAAGTCCCATGGGCCTGTCCCCAAGGCCTGTGCCCAGGATCTCAGAGTCTCTCTGGTGTGGAGAGAGAAATTGTTGCCCCAGCACACACACACACATAACCTACACTCCTACACACACACACCTCAGGGTGAGCCCTGGGCTCCTTCTCTGGACTAGGCAAGACCCTCTTCATCCCCTTCTCTAGTGTGAAGAATCTCCTTGCAGTGGGATGGGCAGAGTTGAGCAGGAGCTGGTGAGGTCAGAGGTCATGCTGAGAGAGGGGAGGCCAGAATTTCAGAGTCAGACACAGAGGAAATGTCCACATGCCTGGGAGGGAATTTTATTATGTTTTAAAAAATTATATAGGAACAAAATATCTATTCAGGGCTTGGAAAGATTCTTATACTTGACTCTGAAAGGATAACTTGTAAAAAGGGTAACTGATAAGTTCAAACTCATAAAAGTTAAACTGTTTTATTAAAATTGCAAGTATAAAAATTATCTCCATCTAAAATATAGAAGCACATTTTCAACACAATGCAGAATTGTAACCACAGTCCTCACCCCGTCCTCTGACTTCCCTTTAATCCTGACGTCAGAGGAAGGGCCAGGTGGTGTCAGTGGAGAGTGGATTCACCCACAGAAGGGCCTCAGGGGAACCTCAGTCATGCCCTCTGCACTGAGCTCCTCCAGGGCACTGGGGTATCAGGGTCCCCAAACCAAGGCCCACAGTGCCCCCTGGTGTCCACAGGACTCACGTCACCTACATGTGTCACTACTTCCTGCACCAGGACTGCTTCAGTCCCGCCCACACAATCTGGGTAGTTTGCTGAGTGTTTTACAGGAACCCCCTCAGCCAGACCTTCCCAATAACCCCGCAACCCTGAGCTTCAGGCACCGTCTCTCCTCCCGTCTATGTTCAGGGAACACCATGGGAGGTGACATGATTTCCCCACAGTCCCAGAGAGCAGTGGGAGGAGCCCAGGGCCCAGGAGACCCAGCTCAGAGCTGTCCTCAGCCTCCCTGCCCTGTCTGCTGTTCCCACCCCTTCTTCCTCCCTTCCCCAGTCTCCTGGGTCCTCTTGTCACCGCCTCTCTGCTGTGTCCAGGTGCTCTGAGCTGTGTGGGCAGAGGTGGGGACCATCCCTCTGTTCCCTCTAGGGCTGGTGACACAGGAGAAGGTGTCAGGGAGACACAGGGGACCGCAGTGGTCTGGTCGAGCTCCTCCTGAAAGCGGGTGTCCTGACCAGGTATTTTTAGATTCCTATTCTGCCATAATGAAGGTCAATAATAATTTAAGATGAATACAAATTAAATATGAATGTGTTAGCGTGAACACACACACGTGCCCGTCTGTCAAAACCCTCCCTCTCAGCCCCATCAGCAGGATTGAGTGCCGACCTGCTGTGTCTCCATTTTCATTCACTCAAGTACTTCCCACTTGCCTTTTGCTTTCTTCACTGACCCCCCTTGCTATTTAGGAGTGTGCTTTCACATTTTTCTTATTTGTGGTTCATAGGGAAGTGTTTCTGCTACCGAATCCTAACTCCTTTCTCTTCCACTTGGATGCTACAGGCTGTGTTATTTCTGTGTTTTAAATGCACTGACTCCTTCTCACGCCTGCAGTAAGATCCTCCCTGGAGGAAGTTCCAGGTGAGGATGCGGTTTCTGCTATCCTGGATGGACTCTCCCAGGTGGAGACCAAAGATTAGGAGAGGAATTCACCTCCCAGTGCTGGTCTCCAGGGAGGAGTCCTGTGACCTGTTCTGTGAGCTGTCCCCACTGCAGCGAGGCCGCAGGACACAGGTCAGGATTCCGTTTTGTTCTGTGGTTTTGCAGCACGATAGTTGCCATTTCAGTCCATAAACTCTGACACTTGGAATCAGAGCCACGCAGAGATATACTCACTGATCCATGTGCCAGAAAATGTCTCCAAAGGGACTAATGTCTTCAACATCTGCACATTCAAAAATCTCTAAAACAAGGACCAGCAGATGGCATAGTTATGTCACTGGACTCCTATGTAGTTGACCATAGTTCAAGTCCCGGACCTGGTGACTTAAAACATTTCAGGGGCATGTGCATGCATGCCCAAAATCTCAAGAAGAGGTTGGAGGAGAAGGGCCATCCACCGGGGAAGGTGATTTCTCACTTTCTCTGTCTCTCTGGTGAATGCACACACAGTATACCAAAAATCTCTCTCTCAAAAAAAATAAAAGTCACTAATACAGATGGCACACATGTTTGTAGATAACAGGTTCATACAGTCCAAGGAGGTAGGGGCTGGGGGGGGAGAAACATGCAAGAGCATCCCGACCTGGCTCACTTCTAGCCCATGTGATCCAGGATCCCGAAGGGAACACAGACGTGCAGGGGTGAGCAGCAGAGAGCAGTGACCTCATCCACTTATGTCCATGAGTAGGTTGGGCTGTCCTCAGCCCCCTTCCGCCCCTCTGTGCAGATCAGGCCTCAGCAGCTATGAGGATCCTTCCTCCCCAAGGTCTCAGTCTGGAACAGACACCACAGTGACCACAGGCCTACCGCACATGGCACTCCAGGCCACCAGCACGGCAAGAGCACAGCCCTGTGGTGCACAGAGCTCAGAGCCTCATTGCACAACCTGTGGACCTACTGTGCTCAAAATGGTCACACTTGAGCACTGACCACTGTGGAGGTGAGCAGTGTGTGTGAGCAGCTCAAAGCCCCCAGGTGTGTGTGTGTGTGGTTCATGGTGCCACTGGGGCCGCGGCTCCCCTTTTCTTTGGTCTTTAGCCTAGAGATCTCGGCTCTCAGAACCCAGAGCTCCTTGGATGTGAGGGTCTTTTCACACCCGAGGAAAATGCAAGGAGCAAACAGGTCTACTGGGGCCCTCAGCACACACACCAGAATTTAGGAGGAAAACCAGAATTATTGGGTGCACAGAGGCCCCCCGGTCCTGATGCTCATGGTGGGGACAGCTGGCTCCTACATGGTTTCAATGGAGCTGGGACTCCATGGAGACCTGCAGGCCCAGGCCAGCTAGGAAGGAGGGAGAAGACATTGAGGGAGCAACAGATGCTGACATGCAGGGAGGGAGCAATAGGGACCTGAGGCTTCCCTCCAGGGAGCTCTGGAGCTGGGAGACTTCCAGGTGGTGCTAAGATATGGCAGGGCCTGGGACCTTGGTCTCAGGCTGTCATCAAACCAGGCTTCTCTGGGTAGAGGCATGAACTGGAAGAAGGGATTGTGCTCTGAGGGGCTGACAGGTGGTAGGTCAGCCCTGAAGTGGGGCCGGGCAGATCCCACAGGGCCCAGGGCACAGGCTTGCTCTGTGAGAATCCCATCAGGGCCAGGTGCTGCTGTGTCAGGACTTCAGCCAGCTGGACAGGGCTAGGTGTTAGTCCTGGATATTTGGACCAAAGAAAGGCCCACTGACCCCCACAGAAACGCCAGATCAACAAGTGAAGGACAGATGTGTCCTTATGTCTGTCCTCACACTCAAATAACAGACCCTAATCCCAGGGCAGTCTGGTCCTGCAGCCCTGAGTGCACTCCCCACACTCCCTCGGCAGATCCCACCTGGAGGGCTAGGAGGAGAGGACAGCATGGGGGGCTCAGCTCCAGGTGACATGGGCCAGCCCTGCTGTGTCCCCAGTCTTACAGGGACTACAGAGAGTTGGACCCAGACAGGGAAGGGGGTTTGTGTCTCATTTCCCCATCTGCCTGTGTCACTGTGCAAGGTTACCACTGCCCCATGACTGACAGTAATAGTCAGCCTCGTCCTCAGCCTGGGCCCCAGTGATGGTCAGGGTTGTCATTCCACCTGAGCGGGAGCCGGAGAATCGGTCAGGGACCCCAGAGGCCCGGTTGCTATCACGATAGATGAGCAGTGCAGGGCGCTGGGCTGGCTTCTG